CAAGAAGGACGGGTTTCTTTAACATCGTTGAAAATATCACCCAATATCACCCAACACTTTCTCGGCTGCCCATGAGGAGACGAAAACACTGCTACGTGGGTGGTAATGCCCCGTAACAAGCCTAAAATAGTGAAATCAATGACTATTAAAATTCGCACTATGAATACACTGGGGGTAGATTCATCCTGGGTCAACATGATGTAATTGTCTCAAGGCAGCTCTATCTGTTCTTTGCCGGCCCCGTTCATATTAGCTCATATTAGAATCCGTCGTAAAAACCCTTTCGGTCCTTTCGCCTCTTTTCATGTGAATCGAGAACGCAAACGCAAATGTGAATGCAACCTGCTAATTGTATGGTTTTCCCCGCCTGCCAGGTGAGGGTCTCACTAGATTATTGATAATTTGATAATCATTCGATTTTTCAATATTTTTCAATTATCTGAAATTATCTGCAAAACCGATCTTTCAATTTGCTCACGAGTTTCCAAGGCATCCCGGATCTCGTCCAAGACTTCCTGGATTGAAGCCAGGGATACAGTCATCGGCTTGCCACGGCTTTCGCTTTCCTGTCTTTGCCAATCACCTACAAGCAAAACAAGAATCAACAAGAATCAACAAGAATAAACAAGAATCAAGATGCAAGATGCTCCGAAGCAACAAACTCAAAACGTAAAACGATGTAAGAACATGTAATAAATTGTAATAAATTGTAATAACGTGATGTGAACAAAATGTCTTCCTATTGTTTTCTTGCTGTGCATCGAAACCCTGGACTTGGAGAATCTGCTTTGAGGCCAGAGATGGCCTAGGGACATCTAGGGACTAGAGTAGCCCATTGTCGAAATATATCTACTCTATTCTACTCTAGTCCCCAGGTGTATTTCGATCTTTCGACACATTTCGATCAGAAACCACACTATTGAAAGATTCGGATTGGTGTGGTTTCGTTTATGCAATCTTGTCACATCTTGTCACATCTTGTCACAGCCCGACCTTCTTCACTGAGAAGCTCTTTCAAGCTGGGCACCGCTACAGGATGCAGAACAGCTGCTACTTCAGGCATATCTGCAACAATCTCACCTTTCACTGGCGCCATCATCAGCTGGACGCCTTCTTTTGGAGTGTTTTCCTGGCAAACTGAAAAATGAAAAATCAGATCAACATGTCGAAATAGACCATTTTTGATGCAGACAAATAAATTTAAGAAAACTCGTAGAAGTTCCTTTTGCTTGATTCAGATATGTTCAAAACATCAAGCCATATCAAGCCCTGCGAGTCTTTCCGCGTGGATGGGTTTCGCGTCGTGACGCAGTCGGGGCCGTACACGACCAAACGTAACAAACGTAGCAAAATAAATCAAACATATGTACAACACAATATATACTAATACAATCCTATCAACATATCGTGTATATAATCTATATTCATGAATGCGATAGTCATATGCGGATATACGTATAATATTATCACAAAACAGTGCCTTTTTTGGCAGCGTTGGCATTGAAGACCTGGAAGGGAGCTGGAAATAGCGATCCGCAATTATCTCACTAAGCATGGTGTCAGGCTGCAGCTGGGTCGGATCTTCTGCAAACGGCCCTGAAACTCAGCGATGTAGTTTTCTCGTGTTATCTGGTGTTACTATTTACCGAATATACATGGTAACACCGTGACATGGGATTTTTTGTTGTGATCTATTCAATTGTTTTTTGTGTGCCAATGCACTGGGGTGATGCCCATGAAACAGTACACGCGTCATCTACGTTGAATGCTGTAGAACTGACTGCAATGGCACCAAACATACCTCCACCCCCAAACCAGTGGTAGAGCTATTGTTGGCACAGTCACAGCTCTTCTCCAGTTTACATTCATGAGTCATCATTAAGAAATCTAAGAAATCAATAAACAAGGTTTGCGCTTCCCTAATTACAAAGTATTACCGCTCATGAAGCGACCATGTTGGCCACTGGTACTACTACAAATGAGCCATAGCAAAATGACTTGTGAAGCATCCATGGTAGTAGCAAGATTGGAGAGAATGTCGAGGTGACTGTCCAGCTTGGGGGGAGGTGCAAGTAGTATAACGTGAAATCATGTGTTCATATGTTTTATTGCTTTCTTCACATGTTCATTGTTATTCATGTTTTCTGTCTCTCCACAAACTTTGCTGATGTACAAACACCTCCAGCTACAAGAAACTAACATTCGTGGTGTGTGACACATGCTGAAAGACCTAAAGAATTTCTCAAAAACTGTCAAACCGACGACATGCTGGTACCTCAGCATGATACATCGATTGACCATCATATCGCTGCCCAAAAAGACTTTTACCGAAGTACACATGGATCCAACTACCAAGAGAACTAAAATCGCAATGCTTTTCAACACCCTCCACTTCAAACAAATATAGACATAAGTAGACTACAAAGTACAAAACTGCAAGATCTCGGTTCACAAAAAGGCCTTTACCAAAGAGGCCTGTAAGCAACTCAAATGGCTGAGGGTTTCAAGCACGTCTTGCAATGTACAGAAACGCACCGGGTCCGCACTGCAACACTGCAGCTTCATGTTCAGTTCATGTTCAGTTCATGATGTTTCAGTATGTTTCATGCGCTTTCGATGGTCTGACCATGGCTGTTTGAAGACCGGTCTGCGAAACGCACTAGTGCCGCGTATTATGCCTCTTGTTATGCCTCTTATGCCGTGTATCAAGCCGTTTCAAGCCATGCTCCTCCAAATTCTTCGAAGCTAAATGAGGAGCTGGGTCTCTTGGTTGGAAGGTGCCAAGGTCTGAATCATCTCCTGACACTGCGCAACTCAGAGCGTCTCAGTACCTTTAAATGATTTCCAAAAGGCAGAGCCATGGACAAAGCTGTGACAAGGCGGCTCAGGCCCCAACTAAGTAGTTTTGCCTTCGAAAGTTTTGCATTTGGAGCCTTTGGAGCCATTGGAGCCATTGGAGCTGTCTTTGTGTCAACGACAATCTCCCCTTTGGCACCGTTGCTTTCTCCCATCCGCCAGCGCATGTAACCTTCATGGCAACTAAAAGATGTATCGATACAAATCAATAGAGTTTAAATGTCAATGCAAGTGAACAAACATGCAGAAACGTGAAAAAAACACTCACGCACTCACGCACACAGAAAAAT